ACTTTGCCTAATCCACTTTTAATAAAAAGGGAAAATATGAAAGAAAATACTTGTCCTTAATATTTGTCTAGGAAAATCTCTTCTTGGCACTAATTACCTTTCGGCCTTCTCTCTGTTCATATGATCACTTCAGATACGCGTGGATAGATGGTAGTTTGTGAGTGCAAAGGATTTTAACCTCTTCTCGGTCCATAAATAATTGCAACTTCTTGCAGGTCTTGGTGAATGATGATGAATATCTAGATTTTTGATGCTTGGGCCTCCTTCCCACAGCATTCTGCTGCAGACACAGCAGCATTTCATTGCTGCTCTTGTAATTTTTGTCTGACTTTGCAGAGTGTCAGTAAGTTTTCTGATGTCGGTAAGAATTTCTCCCCTTTTTCCCTTCTTTGTTCTTCTTTTCTGGAGCCTCTAGTAGGAAGATGGAAGATGGCATGGATGCTCAAGGGGCTGCATACAGGATTTGATCTCAATATTTATCTAGAAGTGTGCAAATACTTACATGTGTCATAATCACAGATACAGAAAAAAAAACCCTTGCACAATATATACTTGATGATACGGAGAGTTGTCCAATTGGCAGTAGCCTAGACAGCCACTGTAAAATTACCTAAATCCAGCAGAAATACATAATCAGTCCTGTACATCAGGCGATGAAACAAGTTTAGGTTTTAAATATGGAAGGAATTCAGATGACTTCTATCAGTTTTGAACATATTGTAGAATCTCTCAGATGAAAGATCAACTGAACTGTCCATCAGCTGACAGCTTGTTAATCCCTGAGCAGGAAAGTTTTTCTGTCCTTACTGTATGTATCTACATAGTCTGGGGACAGACTATAGAATAGTGCCTGCATGCCACTGTGGGGAAGAGCAGAAGAAAGTCAGGCAGGGCACGGGTTTTGGAGCTGGCTAGACTTTGAGGAGTTTTTTAGCTAGAGATTCATCAGGTCTGCTAATTCCACTCTGCTCCTCTTCCTTTCCTCTTTGTTTTCAGATGATGAAAGATCGTTTAACTTCATATAACTGACTGTGAACATCAGTTGATCACAAATAAGATTAAAAAAAACCAACCCCTCAAACCTAGATGATGCGACATAGATGTTGTATGCATATCTCAATGTAGCGAACATAAAGAGATTGAGGAAGACTGTGGTATGTTCATGCACTGTATTGAGGAGAACGGAGTTGTTGCGTAAGATGTGTCCCTTCCTAGAAGACAGCCCAAGTTCTTCCTCTCCCACAAATGAAGCAATCCTTAAGGGGGAAAAATAGAATAATCCACTTAATTCTTGGGGGGCTCTTTTGCATCTGTCAGCGTCCTGGGCAGGACTGCTGTTTGCCAGGATCCTTGCCTGGTCAGCCAAAATTTGTTCTTCCTTCTCACAGCAGCTGGTCATTCAAACTGTACAATGATTTTTGTTTGTAAATAAAATTAAGTCTTTACTGTATCTTAACAACAGAGACAGACATTTACTTTGGGAACCAGTGTGGTTTTTTGGTTTAGTTGGATATTTTAGTGTAAGCCAAAGAAAAGAGTTTACTTAAAGTTAAGCAGAAGAAAAAACATTTACATGAAAGCCAGCAAAGATTTCTTAGTGATGAAGTTGAAAGCAGGAATATTTCCACTGCATTGTAATAGAGAGGGGCTTTCTCACCTTCTGTACATGTTTGTGTGAAAAAAGAGTTGGAGAGCATGTGGAGCACGAGATGAATGCAGCAGGATTTGCTCTATGGTGTGCTGAGGCTAAGCAAATATGCAGACAGTCTTATTTTCCTGACAGCCTTGTTGTTGAGACATCCAGTTTTAAAGAGACTTTCTGTAAAACAGATGAGCCATGGTGTCCTGTCTTTCACAATAATATGGGAAAAACAGAAGTCATCCCTTCTGGATGATTCCAAAACCAGAAAAAGTATCTGATATGTATAGAAAAAGAGGACCTGTGGCAAAAGACTCTTCTGTCGCAGTCTTGGCAAACTAGTAGTTCTAGGAGTGAGTAGCTCCGCCATGTTTTTTATATGAAAATAATTTTCCCCTTCAACGATGAAGACACAGAGTGAAGTTATGCTGGCCCTGCAAAATTCAAATGAAGGTTTACTGAACTGGATCTGAAGCTCGGTGCATGGCCAGCTCCTGGAGCCAACGGAAGGGTCACCACTCTCTCTGATGTTAAGTTGCAGGCTTTAGCAAAGTTGGCAGTGTTGACACCAACAAAATGAAAGACACCCTCCTCCTCTTCCCCTAATGTCTATCTCCATCTCTTTTTGTCCACCTAATATGTTCTCTCTTGCCTTGCCCTCGAGCTTTGACCCTTCCATCCTGTTGGTTTTCATGTTACTGCTTGCACATATGATAGCTGTGCCTTAGCGTAAAGCAACATTGATAGGAAATAAAAACACTTCTCTTGCAATATACTTAGAAATATATGCTTGATTTGAACAACTGAGCTAGCAGACTCATGTATTGATGAAATGCAGCTGAGGAGGGAAGCATGTAGGAAGCTGAGAGGGTGCAGGGCTCCAAAAACTGAAGCTGTTTGTCTCCTCGAACCGAGGCGCTTGAACTTGAACCTTTTTCTTTCAACTGCCTGGGATTATTTCTGTTGTTAAACTGGTGTCTGTGGAGTCAGGCTGTGTAATAACTGGGACGAAGGCCTAATCCCTCTCCAAGGCAACCAGACGGTTCAGAAATTAAGGAATTCTGGCAGTTGGATACTTGTCGTGTGACATAGGCGTTAATGCTAGTTTACGCTATGATGCTGGTATATAATGCTAGTCTCTTTGGTCGGGTTTTACAAAATGTAGGAAATATCATATACAAGTTTGCATGTTATGAGATGGAAGCCACCTGTGTCATGTAGCGGATTATGCTGTGACACAGGTGCACAGTGGTATTGCATTTACTTTGACTACATCAAGCCCCTTCAGAAAAGAAACTGTAGTGAAAGCATGAATGACAGAACTAATTGTTAGGTAATATGTCTGAAAATCTTTGGAACAATTTGAGTATGAAAGGGCAGGATATAGAATCATAGAATGGTTTGGGTTGGAAGGGACCTTAAAGATCATCTAGTTCCAAGCCCCCTGCCATGGGCAGGGACACCGTCCACTAGACCAGGTTGCTCAAAGCCCCGTCCAGCCTGGCTCTGAACACTTCCAGGGATGGGGCACCCACAACTTCTCTGGGCAACCTGTTCCAGTGCCTCACCACCCTCAGAGTGAAGAATTTCTTCCTTACAGCTAATCTAAATCTACCCTCTTTCAGTTTAAAGCTGTTACCCCTTGTCCTATCGCTACGTGCCCTTGTAAAAAGTCCCTCTCCAGCTTTCTTGCAGGCCCCCTTCAGGTACTGGAAGGCTGCTGTAAGGTCTCCCCAGAGCCTCCTCTTCTCCAGGCTGAACAACCCCAACTCTCTCAGCCTGTCTTCACAGGAGAGGTGCTCCAGCCCTCTGATCATCTTCGTGTAATAGAAGGATTAGGGAAATGTTTTCATGGGCAATAAAACAAATCCATGTTTGTGTTGCAGCTTCATGTCAGATTCAGCAATTCAATGGTAATGCTTGGACAGGCTTTTTGGTAGTACTCAGTGCTTAATTATAAATAGCAAAGTTATATGGCAATGACTTGTCTTCTTGTAGATACTGAAGAAATCTAGGTGAGTTTCCTTTAATCTTTGTGTTTGCCTTTAATGCATTTTGATATTTTAAAAACTTCAAACTTCTAACATCCCTCAACACCAATGACCGTGTTGTTCTTTTCTGTACTTCTTCATGATTTTCCCTTATTTCATGCTTGTTTTTGAATTCTGTGGGATATAACATTAATTTCCATGCAGTACAAGCTATACAAACATCTGAACTGGGCAAAAATCTTGGTTTTGATATTGTATAATTGTTTATTGCTGCTGCTGATGAAGAAGGTGGCAGGTGAGGATTTCAGTCTTACGTGTGTGGGAGGACTACCGATTTTATTTTTTTTTTTCTTTCATTTTGTGTCAACATTGCCAGCTTTGCTAGAGCCTGAAACCCTCTGGCATCTCAGAGAGCAGGGACCTTTTAGTACACTCCGGGAGGTGGCCATGCACTACAGAAGGTTCTTGGGCTGTGCTGTGCCATGTGGGCTGGTTGCATCGCTGTAAATGGCTGAAATGTCACGGTTCCTGTCCTGACACGAGATGTCAGTGCAGCTCCTTTTTTCTTAGCTGTGTTAACTGTTCAAAGTTAATAGGCATAGGAGAAGCATACTGGATTTTTTAATCAGTAAATTCTTTAGATTGATACACACAGGACAGATCTATTTATGTAGAAGGGGCGTCTTCGTAATAGTAACCTTTTCTGACTAAAGCTATGCAAAGCACAGATTTTCAGTATTATCAGAATGGCCCTGTCATCATTTCTCCTGATTTCAGTTGCAGTTGGGCAGGCTGACGGAGAGCACTTTCTCCAGTCTGATCTCTGATTTTAGAGCTATTCTATCAAGTATAATGTGATTACATATTTGTATTTGGTGCTTTTTGAGGTTTCCAAACGACCTACATTTTTTTCCAAAGGTATTTAATACAGTTTGTGTTAATCACTTTCTACAATGGTAGTGCAAAGCATATACAATTTGCAAGACTGTATTAGTAGCTTGAGTTAAGGAAATAGTTATCAAAGAGCTATAATTGGCAAAGATGACAGGTAATCTGCAAAGTATTGTAGCATTTTTTAAGTTGTTTGAAGCTTTCGTCCCATGTATTGAACAGTTTATAGTTTTCAGAAAAGTTTGTGTCCTTATTTCTTTCTGTTTAAATATGAATACACGTGGTATCTAGGAAAGCTGTTTTATAATTCAGAATCAGTTTAACAATGAAGAAGAACTATGTTTTCATTTCATGCCTGAATTTACCTTGTGATACCTTTCGCGTACCTGATGTTTTTCAACTTCAGAATCATTTCATGGTCTGGAGCAGATGGTAACATCATCTGTTTGTCACTTTATTTAGTTTTATTCTCATTTCAGGAATGCAATTTTTTGGATTTTGGGAAGAGATGAACAGAGTTATTTCAGATTCTGAATTGGTGTCCGGTATCCCCTACTCATCTGCCATACCAGGACTGATACAGTATCTTCAGAGCATCACCAAACTTGTAATATCAGTGCTGTCAGTGACTGCAGGTCCTGACATCCAGGGCAGCAGTTCAGCTGTTGCAAAGCAAATAGCCAAGCCATCATTGTCAATACTTCATCTCCTTCACTGTGAGTTTCATGAAGTACGTCTGCTTGCGTTGGAAGCAATACTGCTGTGGTTGAAACAAATAAATACCAAGCAGATAGGAGAAGAAGGAGGAGGTGTATTGTGTTTACTCATTGCTTTGGAGGGCAGTCTTCTCACAATGGCTCTGAAGGAAAAGAATCTCCAGTGTTTTTGCAAGGTAGGAGGGTCCTATTTTATTGACATGTGATATGTTTTCAGTAAATGATATTCTTAATTTTTAAAAATATATTTCAAACATGCATAATGTTTTTTAAATAGTACATGAGTTTTTGGGTTTTTGGGGGTTTTGGGGGTTTTTTTGTTTGTTTTTTGGTTTGGTTTTTTTTTCATTGAACAGGAGCTGTGCTATAATTCTGTAACGTTCCTCTGTAAAAGCAAGAACTTCCTCTTCTCTTTCTTAGCACTGTCAGGAGAGGACCTTTGTGTTCTTGGAGTGTGGTTTAAGTCAATGTTTTATTGATCGCAAATGTACACATTCATGTTGAGATTGTTTGTAAATTCTTTGTTTGTGAATTGTGTGTGCAGGTGCTGGAAATTCTTTATAATATGGATCTCAGAAATGTGATTCCAAAGACTGAATGCTCTATGAAAATGAATCCAAATGAGCTCTTAACCTGGAGTTTAAACATTGTAGATATCTCCAACAGGTATGGTCTGTCATACACATTAAAACATGTATGTTTTAAAAACTTTAAATGTTGAAGCATTGATATATTGGTTTTGGACTATCCGTTGATTTAAAAATCCATGTTTCAGAAAAGTGAGTGTGGCTTATTTGAATAAAGAGAGCTCTTGATGAGAATTTTTCAGAGAAGTTAGACATGTATCCGAATTATTAAAAAGGCCTGCAAGTCATACTGGCAAGCACCCTGTAAATGTCCAGTAATTCAGTTCCTGAAATAAGAAGTTACTCCGGCTGTCAGATGACAGGCAGTGAGCACAGCTCTTCCTGAACAGTAATTGGGAAACACCTGAACACTCATTTGCTGTGGATCCACCGTCCGTCCTATCCTGGTTTATTTGCAGACAGTCTGTAGAAAGAGTGACCGATCTGATTTCACTTGTTGGATTGGCAGAATCGGTTAACCCTAATCCTTAGGGTTCACACTCCTTAATCAGACTGTAAAGTCAGCAGAAAGCGCTGAAATTTGGAGCCAGTTTGTAGTTCGTACTGAATTAGAAGCTGTGTCCATCCATTCCTAACAGAATGGACAAACAGGGTTAAAGTGTCCAGGCTCTAAGGTCAAGACCATCCTGTTTCTAATAGTCTCTTCTTTTAAGCCATATAAACGTTGTACCCCAGTGTTACCAATGTAGAATATTTATGGTATAGAGTGTAGAACAGCATTTTATAGCTGTGCACATTTGCTGCTGATTTGCACTAAATTTTTCAAGTTTAAATGATGATGTGGAGTGTTTATTTCTGGAGTGAAGTAAGATACTTGTGGCAAAATAATGCTGACTGGTGCTGTTAGAGGGAAATAACTGAAATAGCAGACCTTACTGCTCAGGTGTTGCCATTCCCCACGGTGAGACCAGCCCTTCAGGACCCACGGTGCCAAGTGCCGTGTCCTTAGACCCTGGTGGGCAATATGGAGGCTCGGGAGCCAGCAGTTGGCATATTCTGCACTAGTAACATTTCTAGCAGCTATAGAAGAGAGATTCCTGGAGCTTAACACCAGCTTGAAGAAATGCTTTTGTTTATCATTTAAAATAATGTCTGGTTTGTTTAACTTGGCTTCCATTTTCAAATGTGTTTTTCTGTGGGAAGTATACAGATAGAAAATAAACACGAGAGAGGTGAAAGTAAAAGCATATTTCATTTGCATATCAACTAAAAACATAACTAACGTCAAGATCTGTAACGTAAAAATTCTGAGTGCTCAGCTTGCAAAATACCCCTTGGTGATAATCAGGAATGATTAAGAACTGGCTGGTTTTTCTCTAGAGATGAAATGATGGCAGAAGTAGCTGCTTTTTTTGATGTGTTCTTTACCTTGTTTTCTCAGCACTGAAGTTCAAAGTGTAGCTCTCAAATTTGCCTCCAAGTTGGTAATCCATCTGTTGCAGAACCATCAGCAGGTAAGCGAACTGGAGCTGCTTAACAGTGTTGCAATTCTGGAGTTTTTGGTGATAGAAGTAATGTGGCTTCTTTTAGGTAGAAGCCCCAAGCTTGTGTTTTTTTGTGTTGTTGCACCTTTTCTGGCATTATGTCTTCCTCTCTGAATACACTGCCACGTTCTGAAGTGAAACACCATGAATATCATCTCAGTATATCCCTCTCAAAGTCATTTCAAGTTAAATATGTGAGTAAATTTTTCTGATGGATTAATTTCAACTTCTGAGAGCATTCAAAATAGTCATTATAAAGTGGAAAGAAAAATGCCTATGGTGATTAACACATGTACTGAATCCAGGCCATTTACTAAAGTGCAACTTTGTTGTGGTTTGTAATTGCTGGGGAGCCAGGAGGAGAGCAGGTCCGAGGGGAAGGCAAGAAGCTGCAGCAGTGGTTGGGTGCAGTTCCCTTCCTCGCTGTGTGCAGTGTGACCTTGCCAAGTCTCAGCCTGAAATCACTGTCTGAGCACACCAGCTTGTTGTCTGCATGGAGTTTCTCATTGAATTTCCTCTTAAAATTTGTTTTTAAAACACTAGAGTAAATATAATAACCCTTGTAAAATTCAAGGCTCTATGTTCTCAGTTCCTGTTTATAGACTGTTTAATTTAGATTTATACCAGCACAAATTACTGGCTCAGATTTCTTTTGATTTTAAATTGTCAGTCTCTGATGTCACATATGTATGTGTAGAGCAGTGCTAAGGCAGCTTTTAATGCTAGACAATTTTTTGTTTGTTTGTTTTCAAAGATACAAAAAAACCTTAATGGATATTTAAAAATAGACAAAATTCTCATGATCTGTTTTAAAATGAAGATTTTTTTTTCCTTATGTAGCTGTTATTTTTCATAGAATGTGCAGCAGAATTGATTCATATTGTATGCTAATAGTCTTGTCTCATTGTTAAAAAAAAAAAAAAAAAGGAAGCCACAGATTTGCACACAAGAATTGGGAACATGAATTATGATGTTAAATCTTTTTGTTTAAGAAAGGCAAAATGCAGGGACTTCAAATTATAAACATTAAAATAACCATATAAACCTGGTTTCACAAATAGACGGGGAACATGTTATTACTCTGAAGTTTTGTATTAATTTACAAAGAGGAATTAATGAAAAATGCTGTAACAGTCGTAACTGTAGAAGAAAGAAGAGAAAGCAACTTTCTCTAATAAGCGTGTAAATCATGGGAGATCTAAGACATCTGTACAGAGAGTGCCTTCTGCTTTGTAAAAGACCAAGTACATCAGTTTTTCATCTAAATTCTTTCTTTGGGCTTGCATTCGGTATTGGCATCTGTAGAAGGGGTTGTTTCTCTTCCATAAGGTAAAAGTTAAGTTCTGTCTTTCTAGATAGTCCATGTGTCTGTTCAAAATTTGAGTAACTGTAACATCTTGGGAGATTTTTTTTTTTTTTTTAACCTGTTACAGAATTTGTAGGACATGCTCTGGCTCTGTCGCTTTGTGCAGTGCAGGTGCATGGCCATGCACCACGCAGAGTGAGGCAGGATACAACCAAAGTTTCATGTATCCCTCAGTGAGTCCTCCTGCACTTCTCTGCCCTTTAACTTGACTCACCTTTTCATTGGTTCTCTTCTTCACCTTATTTGCTTGTTCTGTTTTTTCACTTCCTTTAATTAAAAATAAGTAAAAAAGAAAAGGAAGGAGAAAAAAAAAAAACAACTTAGTTGCACATACCTCAGTTGTCTCCAGGTCTAGCTGGTGCTGCTTTTCCTGTTCTCCTGTGCATGAGGTCCCAATCTGTTTGGTTTTTTGGTTTTTTTTTTTCCTTCTGGAACTTCCTTCTAATTGCCATAGTGCATGCTTGCTTGTGGCTGTGCCTGGATGTGACCTCCTGCAGTCTGCGTGTTCTGTTATCTAACCTGCGCTTGAGGTTCCTGCAGCTTGACTGACCCACCGCCCTCCTCAGCGTGGCATTTGCAGGGGATCCCAGCTCTTTCGTGGTCACTTATGGAAGTTAGGACTTTCTTCTCCCAGTTATGGCCCAGCTGTCCCAATGGAGGTCAGAGTTGACAAGTCTTGGAAGTGCTCTTTGAGTTACGGGTAAAATGCACATTCTTTCTTTCCACAAAAAATGTAGTAGCCATCACTACACATCGGAAAGAGTCGAAGCTTTGTCCCATTATTACCGAGTAGTAGTTTTCCTAGCATATGTCTGAGGACTAAATATTTTCCAAAAGATGGCAACTGGATTTTATTTGAAACAGGAAATTTCTCTTTCCTGTTCTTTTTTCTAATTCTTAGTGTTTTAGGACAGCGAGCTTTGCTGTGTATCAGCCAACACAGATTCCTTCAGTGTTTTGAATGCACGTGCTCTCAGAACCCAAGGTACCTCAGCAGTCTTATTAAAAAAGATTTCCATCCCCGGTATCTGCGGAGGAGACAGATGGAGCTGCATTCACCTCTTTACCAAGCATTGTATCATTACCAAGGCCTAAGATTGATGCTATGGTTCATACGTTCTTAGTTGTTTTTCTAGATATGTGTATGTGTCTACATGTAGGATGCTTCTGAGAATTGCTTCTCTTTGTTATAGTCCAGTATATTTGTCTTTGGCTTGCATGTTTAGAAGAACTGAGGACACAAAGATATGCTGTGACTTGTGTGGTCGTTGGTGAGTCTGGTGTGAAGGGACAGATCAAGAGAGTTGCCTATGAATATTGCTCTGACGAAAAGATAATCTGCCATCTTGACTATCTGTGACATAGTAAGGCAACTTTTGAGTGGATATCTGGGATTCACCACCTTGAAAAAACCCTGCATTTACTGAAAAGTGGTATCCCTTCGGCAGTCCACAGTTTAATGTGATGGTGAGCAGTAACATGGGATTGTACAGCATACTTCTCACATGTTATGTGCCTTCAGATTTCAGAAGAAGTCCTGAAAAAATGGGTTCAAGTGATAGTTTATTTTTGTGGAGATGAGCAACAGACAGAGATGTTGTTAGCAGCTGCTGAAGTTCTTAAAAATATAACAACATTTCTTCTGATCAACGAGAAGCTCGTTCTTGGTGAGTAGTGTGAACGTTAATTTTCTGGATCTTTTTAAATGAAACCCATTAATACATGACTTAAAATGTATTTTTCACATATATATTTACACACAGTCAAAACACATAATTACATCAAACAGGGTATTTTGAAAATTTTAGTTGGATTTAATGTATGAAACAGACTTACTGAAATTCTGGTACAGAAGGCACATGTGCAGAGCCTCTTGCAACAACTCCACAGATGTGGGGCATGAGATGGTGTTATGTCTCCAGCCTGCTATATGTTCCTGGACAGATTTCCTGGCTTGCAATTGCTCTCTGACTTGGATCTTTCTGAAATATTCTATTGGTGATATGGACATGCTTTTAGTTTAACACCCTGAGTGTAACAAAGCTTTGCTGGCTGAATGTTGAAATTAAAGGGTTCAGTCTAGAAATGAGGGACACATTCTACTATAAGAATTATTCATAGTTGGGTCACGTTATGCCTCCCAGATATAATAATTTTTTTTAAGTTAACATTAGACTGTCTCTTTAGAAAACCAACAAACAAACAAACAAAAACTACACAGCCTTGTTCAACAATACATTACTGACTGAGAGGCAAAGCTGTGTGAAATTTTGTGGTCTGTTTTGCAGAAGACATTGGTTTTTTTCTTCTAGTCTTTTCCCCCCCCCGCCTTTGGTGAACAGTGAGTAAGGGGATTTTGTGACTAAAGGGCCAGGAGATATGCAAAAATAGGTAGTGATAGATGATAAAGAAATTATTTTGCATCCTGAACAAGGCAGGTGGCTTTAAATACTTTGTTTCTGTGATATTTTATTCCCATATAGTGATGTAAATGTTTTTAGTTTGAGTAGCTTAAGTCCACTTACATAGACTGGATACAAATTTTTGTTAGACAAGAAGAATGGTACTATTTCTTAAACTGTAGATAGTGGTGTTTTTAGAATGTCAGCTATTTATTTTGAGATGTATCTTTTAAGAGGTATTGATAATATTTAACAGAGCTAAATCTGTTATATGAGGTAGATATTGTACTATTAAATGTTCGTAGTATCAACTCTGGAAATCTTGACCTCTGCCATCTTAAAGCTCTTAGTAGGACAGACATTACCATTTTATATCAAATGAAGACAGGGGAGATATTGGAGTGAAAAACTCCCAAATGCTGTGCTTCTCATCTGTCACCTTTTGGATTCAGTCCGTAGCTGATGGAGAACAGAGTTTCCTCTTTGATCTTGTCAGAACAGTTGCTGGTTTCCATGCTTTCCAATCGGGCAGATGTGAAGGTCTGAAACAAAAAATCGTAGCAGTTTGTATCCTGCTTAAAATTTTAACAAAACAAAGCAAAATAACAAACCAAATCACAACAGAAAAGCCCCCAGGGCCTCAGTGGGCAGACTGTCTGAACCTATTCTTCGCTCTGAAAATTGGGCCTGGGGAAGAAAGATGCAGTAGTGACCCTCCATACTGCCTAGAATCGTCAGTCTGGGGTTCTTCACAGCTGTGAAATTGTCAAGTGCTGCAATGAGAAGTTTAGCGAATCAAGGGCATGATCTGGTGTTTAGTTGCAGTGATATAAACCCAGAATCATTCCCTTAAAGGGGTTATGCACATATAAACCGCTTCGACTTTTATGCCTTGTTCTGCATCAGCTTGCTTGACCACATACAGTACAACACAGAAGTTAAAGAAAATTGTGGTTGTATGAAATGGAGTTGTCGTTCCCATAAGCTTCCATTAAGTACGCTCATAAGAGGAAGAGGGTGAATGCCAATCAGTATGTTCTGGATGACCCCATCATCTCTCCATCACATTGCTTGAGGGTTCAGAAAAAGTCTTTCTGAAAAACCCATTTGCAGACCTCCATCTCTCCTGGAGATATGGTAGAAACGTGTCTAGGTGGGAAAGCTGGCCGTATTGTCTAGAAGGGAATAATTATTCTGCCCTAGCTCTTCCACTATAACATTATTGGGTGTGTCATGCTAGAAAAAAGCAACTTCTTTCTGAAATAATTATACTCCATTTTATTCCCACATAGGGAAGTTATATGAAACACAGCAATGCTTCTTTTGCCTGTGTAGTAAAGCCTCAAGCAATTATTTTTGGCCAAACAGTGAAATACAATTAATTGGCTGGCTAGCCTTGTAATACAAATCTCTGATAGACCTGTTGATAACATGCTTGAAGAAAACCAGCACAGCAATGAAGCACCAACTCCATTGTTCTTTGTGATCACCAGAAAGTAATATCTAACGGCTGGCTGCCTCTAAAAGAGACCTTCCTGTGGATTCCTTTAATGAGGATGTTCAACGAGAGCTGAAAAGTACCCCAGCAAACCTATGAGTACAGCCTTGTGACTTCAGCTAGTCATCCTTAGTGTGACACCACTAAATGGCACAAGGGTTTGCAAATGGAGTATGGCTTGTGAACTGTGCATTGCCACTGGGGTGGCACGTGGAGTCTGCCTGTTTGGGGTTTCCTAGATGAACACCTCCCTCTTGGCAGTTCTCTCTGATTAGTCTTAACTGTGTGCAGGCAATTACCCCATGGATTAAATCTGGCTTGCTTCCAACAGATCGTGGGTACAAGGGTGGCAGGGCATGTTGGTGAGTGGTGGGGTGAGGTGGATATGGGAGGAGCAGGTGACAGGTAGATCCCTGGGAGGTGGGATCGTTTGCAGTTTCCCGCAGGGAATGGCATTTGTGCCCAGCAGTACTGGACTATCTGAACAAAACTTGGTTTGGCAGCCCCTGCTCCAGGCACATCGCAACAACAAATCCATGATCACAGTGTGTTGGTCATTCTCCAGCGGCAGAACTTTTACTGTTGCCAAACAGGAATTCTGCACTCCTAGAAACTGTAGAAAATTCAGAGCACTCATGGCTTAAAGTTGAACCCGGATGGAGAGAGGTCTGTTCTCTTATCTGTTGCCCACTGTTTAAACCAAGCTGAGTCAACCACCTAGATAAAGTTCACACATGCTGAAAACATTTTGATCATACTGCCAGTTGTCTTCCCAGTGGTTTGCCAATGCATTTCTCCTGCTCATGTTTCGTGTTTCACTGCATTTATTGTGTTTAGGTGTGGAAACAGAGCTCTGTAACTTCTTTGAATGCATGTAAGAAATAGAATTCTAACTTTTCTCCATAAATAAATATAGGACTGTCTGATACCCTTGCTATGTGGAAATGTGTGGTTCTACTGCTGCAGAATGAAGATTTGGTAGTAAGGGATGCTGCTGCTGAGGTTATACAAGTGGCACAGTCTGAAAAAAAGAGCAGTAAAGGAACAGGTATGTTAACTTTTCTTCACTCTTAAATATTATTGGATACTTGGGAGACAAAGGTATTTCTCTTTTCATCGCAAACTTCTTGCTAACTGTAAAGTGATCCATGCATCTCTTATAAACACATAGCATGGAAGATAACAGCAAGTTATGATATTTGACACCCACCATGCTTTATTATTTTGCTTTTACTGTTCTCGGTATAATTTGCATATGGTCCCATGGGTATGTAAAAAAGACAACAGCAGTATTCAGCTTTATGGTTCTTGCTGTGATGAGTCAGCTGTCACATAATTTCACATTTTGAACATTCTTTAATACCAGCTTTGGTCTAACATAATGCAGTGGAAGACACTCTTTGAATCCCAGGTCATTATAATAGCCTGATCACAGAGAGACAGGAATCTGGGAAACAGTATTCAACTCATTGATTCATTATTGGGCCTTGAAATCCATTTAGATCCAGATCAACAAAGACATCCTCATCATACCCACAACATGCTTGCAAGGATGTGGGCCTTTTTGTCTGCATGCCCTAGTTTACTCAACCCTATTAATTTTAAAATAGCCACAAAACTTGAGTAGGCTTAACTAATTAGTGTGCTGCACTTTGAGAGTCCTTGCTGACAGATTCTTCCATGTGTTGTGAATAAATTAGAATTTGCTACCAAGCTCCTCTCTCTCTGGTGGTCCCTACTGCTCTATGCTACTCAGTAATGCCTGTACCAACTTGTCTGGTCAGTTCAAATTAGTCAGCCATCTCCATGGGAACTTCTGCTAGACTAAAGATGAAGCAGCTCTGTGGTTTAAAAAAAAATAAGAAAAGGCAGTAAAAATGTATGTTTGCCACTACTGTAGACAGAAGGAGCCAGGAATGTGCTCATGTGGCAGATATGTTTTTGAGCCGGCACTGTTCAGGCACAGTGCTATGGGGCAGGAAAAGGTAAAAGTAGGGATGTGTTACGGACAGCTTTCATCTTCCTGTTAAATCCCACAGCTCTGATTCCAGTACTCTCGTCACAGCTCTGGCAATTTATCTAGTCCCAGCTACAGCTCTCTTGAGTATCAAGAGGCTCTGCATGTGTGCGCCTCAGGTCCCTGACGCTGGCCTTTGTCAAGATGGTACTTTCTCTGGAAATAATACAATGCTGGATTTTCTCTCTGGCTCCTTGTATCTTCTCCCTTCTTCTTTGTTGTATCCCTGTGCCAAGGGATATTGCCCTGTAACTAGATGAGGGCTCTGTCCTACTAATTAATACTAAGGTCACATCAGCGCTTGCTGTTATAACTTTGTAAAGCAGAAGTGGCCATAATTGAGGAAATAACATAATTGGGTTTTATTTGCTGTGTTCCTAATTAGGACAGGGACACCCCCCTTCCCCCCCCAAATTATGTTAACCCCTTACTTATACTTAGTTGTGCCTTCCTGTTCCTTCACTTAAACTGCTTTTAATGAAATCAGCGTCATTCATCTGTGACTAGCAAAGAATGCTGCTTTTGAAAAGATAGAATCCAGTTTCTTTCTGCCTCTATTTTACATTACTATAGTTCCTTCTTGTGGTCTGTTTTTTCCCCACTAAACTCTTACCACTTTTTGCGCTTTGCTTTCTAGGTCTTGGGGGAGCAGGGCAAGGAGTTTTACCCCTGTAGCTTTTGTTTACAACCAGATTAAAATAAGCTTACCTTTGAATGTTGTTTGTTACTTCCATCTACCCCCTTTCTTTTTGTGTGCACGTGAGAGTATGCAATACGTCTGGGTCTGAGGTTTAGACATTTCATGGATCACCAGTGCTCTGTGTCTTGGCCATTTTTAAATCCCATTCAAATATCTACTTATTTTTTCTCAGTTTTCACACTATGAAAGTCCGCTCTTTCATCACAGCACTGATTTTAAAATATCTAAGCTGATACACTGAAATCCATTAGAAGCCATAAAACGGCTCTTGTTAAACCTTTTATTTGATAACAAATTGCTGGATATCTTACATTGACTGACTTTTCATTTCCATTATACGATGACAAGTAAGTATTGTGGCCCAGCAGTTTTATCATGAGATCAGAAAGAAGGATGACTCAAGAGCTCATAAAGAGGAATGGATGTTTAGAAACCCATTTTCATACTTCTGTAATTGTTTCAGTTTTATTTCATTGCCGTTACCACTAGCTAACACAAGAGAGTAAAGAGACTATTGTAATTTCATCTTCATTTGTGCATCAAAAATTTTTGTGTCCTAGCAGCCATTATATTTCCAGACATACTGCACTGTAGAAATAGGTTATGGTGTGTTTCACCTTTTGCTGCTGTTAATTTGCTATACACAGAGGGGGAACGCTGCTCACAAAATCCAAGCACTGGACCTGCCAGAAGTTTTGGCACGAGCATCATTATATCCACTCTTCACAAAATTCTCGCTCTTGCTGTGTACACAGCGTGTAAGGTAGTAGGCTGTAGCTGCCTGCAGAACTCTATTGTCGGCTTAGAAAATCAACACTTTCAGTGTTTCATTTACGTGTGAGATCCAAAGGAATCCCTGATGATAGCCTGACAACTGCCCCTGCCCTTCATGCGTGATACAGGCTGGCATCTGGTTTTCCTGTGAAAGAATGGAGCAGGAGGGGCTGTATACTTGTGTGCAACAGCTGGGCCGAGACTGAATTTGTATTCCGCTTCAGCAGAGTAAGATGAGTGAAGTTGGACTGTTGTTAATAATAACAAACTTATTTGCATAGATTGTTCATATAGTTGTTATAGGACATTTTTCCTTTACATACATGTTGCTGAACAACAGTACAAATGTGTAGCAGTATGATAGTGTCAAATAATAGGTATTTTCAGGGCATTTACAGGTGCTGAAACTGGAGGCAAATGATCCTGTCTATTAGCGTGGTTTCACTTCCAGTAACAGCGCCTATCTTGTGTAATTCTTTGAAATGTTATGGGAGCTCCTAGAAGAGAATATGAATTTGGTTTATTGTTACTCCCTCATGGCTTTTAGTGAGGGCAACCCCCCCATTTCCTCAAGTAACTAATCCATGCAGCTTTAGATCACTCAAATTACGAGAGGAGTAACCTTGCAGAGTCTGAAACGGAGGGTAACAAATACGATACAAGAACCCTAAGAAAATTGCAGCCCCCATTTTCGTTTGAAAGGAGAAAAGCTCAAAAGACCAAAGACTGATACGCAGCAGCAGGGCTTCTGTCCTCACTCTACCCTATCCTCCCCATCCTAAGAAAACCCCTAGAAAACCTATTATTTTTTATGGAAGACAAGGATTTCCACTATTACCAGTAAAAGTTCATTTTTTAAATTTCTTTTTTTTTCATACAGAGAAGCTTGATTTGACTTTGTAATACGTGTAAAAGCTCATAATTAGGAGGGGAAGTTACTGAGGTTGGCTGAGAGCAGTCATTTTCTGAGCAGAGCAGGTCAAACAGAATCCTATCTCACTAGAAAGGAGAAAACCTTTTGTTTTCCTTGCTAAAAATACGAACTTAGCGAGTAGTTAAGGTTTTCCTAATAACTTGAACAATATAAACCCCATCTGTAACTCAAGGTATTGTATGTACGCTTTGTTGTTGTTTCCTCATGCATTGAGGTGTAAACTTCTGGGGGATTGTTTTATTCCTTTCAGTATGAGGGAGGGTACAGGAAGTATTGTATTCAGTGTAAATGTAGAATAGCTGCTTTGAAATCTAATTAAATTAGTGACCCATGGCTGTGTAAAGTCTAGACCTATTCACAGCAGCATTTCTTATCCAAGAGGGTTACTCCTTACAAGAAAGAAGATCATTTAAGTCAGGGAAATAGTTGTTTTCCTTCTCTACTGATGATTGCTTTACTGAGTATCCTGAAAAATTCAAGTAACTCAGTGCTAGAACCACAACTGTATTCATTGCTGTCATTTTCCTCTGGCTTTTTGTATCTAGAGAAGCGTTACCTTAAGTAAAGTTATGAGCTTGTCAGCATTAGAGAGTTTGAAGAAACTATTTTTTACTATTATAGCTAAGCCAATGCAATTCTATAAAATTCTATATAAAAAACCACCTTTAGTCAGCTTAACGTTTATGTTGGTAAATTACCAAATTAACCTTAAATTGGTTTAAGAGCATTTTTAGTGTTGTCAGCATTAGCACCAATTTAGCTGATTTTTAAAATTGAGCTGAATTGAGCTTAGGTGAGCAATTAGATTCACAGACTTGAGTAAATCTCTGGGAAGTGGCTGCATGATTTAGCAGCTTAAATATTCTTCTCGAGTATAATTTAGGCCTTTGGGAACCTTCTGCTACATTTACTGTGAAATAGCAGCATGGTATAGAGATGAGCAAGTTAGCTCATGGACTGGAAGTTGTGTGGCTGCAGCACAAGCTAGATAAATGGCCCAGCCTGAGCACCACCATCACTGGATGCGTTGTAAGCATCTTTGAAAATCAGTCCAATGCTGTTGTTATTCCTTCCCTTAGTTCCTGAGTAATTCTGAGAACAGGATTGGGGCTATAAATGATGTAGTCACTTTTGAACATAGTGCTGATTTAATCCACTGGCCAGAAATTCAGATATATTAATCCTGTTCCTTCTGTTCCCATTTCACACGCTTAAGAAATAAGCAGTGGATGATAAGTCCTGCGCCAGGAGTTTCTGAACAAGAGGCAATGCAAAGCTCTCTTTTCATCTCTTGTTGGTTGTTCGCTTCCCGATAAATTCTACTTTTTATCTTCAGAAAAAAATAATCAGTGAAAATGACGAATGTCTTGTTTTTTGATTCACCAGCAAAAAAGCATTAGCTGGCTGGTTTGAAGAAGCTGACTCCCCCTTCTGAAGGGCATCCTCTTGGGAAGGGAGTGGCACTGTTCTACAGAGAAGATTGGGTTGAGGTTCTTGTGGAAGTCTTCATTGCTGGGTATTGGCCTGTGTTTTAGTGGCCTAGAGTATCTCAGCCCTGTCTCACTGTATCAGACTAAATGCACATAGGAGCCTTTCAAGAACTTTTGCTTATTGACTAGAGAG